TAGTCTTTCTCTATTTGACACGAGAAATTAATTTCCTCCCCACACTGTTCACACACCTCTGTTCCAATTCCCCCCACCCTGCTTTAGCACGCTCAAGCGCCCTCGGCAACTGCGCAAGGTCATGCTGGTGAAACGTTCGAAGGAAGGGGACCAAAGACTTTCGAGGCAACTTAAGAGAGGCAAGCATTGCAAGCCCCTCATTAATGTATAGGCGTGCTGTACGGGCAGCTGCCCATCTACCGAGGACAATGATCCGGTCTAAGGATCCGTGGCGACCAAACCAACATGTCGCTCCACCCCTGCGCAGACTGTATGGGCGGAACTCGAATTCCTCCAAGTTCAACGCCTTTACACACTCAGAAAATTTTGCTCTCCAGTGGTGTGGTGCAGGGGTAAGGGGGCAGCGTGAGGAGGATGCATTTTTCCAGGCCCAAAGCCATTGGAGTGCCGCTGTCACCGAAATGGTAACACTTTCAGAGGCGCCTGCTCTTTTGCCGGATTTGGTGAGTCCTAATGAAATCACTGCTGGCTTGTCGGGAGACGTCATGAGTATGTGATGGTTACACAATCCCAGTATCTCCCCCGTTCGCAGTAACCCATAAAATCCCAGAAGAAGACTTAACCCGAAGGCATATTCCTTGTGGAAAAGGCACCAACCCAACATGGCAAACAAGCACTCTTCCGGGAGAGGGGGTGCGCGACTTGGGATCTCATTGACGTGCCACGTCTTTAGCAACCTCCAAGTGACTTGAAGCTGCCCTTTCAACCGTGGTTCTGTGTCCTGAAGACCCGCAACGGTGTCACTGGCCAAGGCTCGCCCCTCTCCCACACTCCACAAATGTTCAATGTAATCAGCCAACATGTCATCAAAGGCCGAAAATTTTGTGGGAATGGTGAGGTTGTTTGCCCGGGCATAGTCATAGAATTTCTGCTTTGCCAGACTATAGCGCTTCCTGGTTTGAGGTTGGACTGTTAGTTCACGCAAGGTTCCCAATGCTTGTCGACTTTTAGCTCTTTCCTTCTTGCTGTGGCCCTCCAAATGCTGTCTCACTTTCCCCATTTTCGCTGAAGCGGCCGCCGGCTAGGCCGGTCGGCAGGGTTCTGAGCCGTATGCACATACCCCCAGATGGGGTGGAGATCCGCAGCAAGAATCAAAGAGTTGACACGCATCAACACATGCCTCAACTTCCTTGAGGAGCTCCGACCACGCGACAAGCTGTGCAGACAAACCAAGCTGTCAGTTAAGTGCAGGAAACGCTTCCGATGTCCACCTCGCCGAATCACCAACCAACGCAACGTAGTAAGGATGGCACGCAGTTCAAGGACATTTATGTGCTCACCAGAGTGGCGCCACCGCCACCCCGTCTCCTCACGCCATCGCCACAACTTGGCCGGCACACTAGAGCGCAATCGATGAAATTTCACCTGTGGTTCGCTGGTTGCTGTCACCATGAGGTCTTCCCCCTTCATCGAGACCAGTCCAAGCAACTTCAACAACAAAGGTTTTTCCAACGATTCAACCAAAGTTCGGTTTGACAAGAGAGGAGGCCTCAGCAGAATGCCCTGCAATGTACTGCTGCCGCCTGGCGTGAGGTAATCCACAATCTCTTGCAGCGTCCGCCTTCGACAAAAACCTAAGGGACCCAACAGCTGCTCCAGGAGCCACGTCACCACTCCTACGTGCCAGGAGTTGCCAATCAAGGTTAAGCGAGTGTCCTCCCACACAATGCTGCCTTGCTGGGCTTTCGGGAGACAAGGTCTTGTGTACCCGACAGGAATACACATGATGGCCTCCCTCTCTTGAACGTTCGGTCTACGTGAAGCACCCTTTTTGGTCCATAGCTGATTGTGGTCACGGTACTGGTACGGTGGGAAGCGATAATGGTCCTCGACCCATCTTTGGCGCTCATGAGGGGCACACCGATCCAATCCTGCCGGGCGAAAACCTGGTTGCTCCCTTGGTCGTGAGGTTGTAAAGGTAGGCAACGTGTGTCCTTCTGTGACAAACCAACCCTGCTCCAGGAACGCCTGGCTCTCCACTGTGGCCTGCAAATCCACCGACCCGCAACCTGTCCATGCCTGCTCACACGACACGGGAGGAGTTATGGCCACGCCCTCCCCCTCAGTCAAGTCCCAGTCCACCCAGTACAGACGAGGTCGATGACACAAGCTGATGCCACTAGAGTCGATCTTATATGGGTGCGACTCAACTGCCTCACTCATAATTTCCCGATCCACTTCTGACATCGAAGCCACTGATTCCATCAACAACCGGACCTGAGCCCAAGGGAAATGCACCCGAAACAACTCCTTGATGCGTGGAACTTCCTGGTAGAGGCAACTCCTAGCATCCTTCAAGGCGCCTCTCCTTGAGGCATTGAGCCCGCTCACACCCTGACAGGGTGGTCCCGCTCCAATGAGTACAAGAGCCACTGAGGGGAACTGCAAAGCAAGCTTCTTCACCAGCTCCGCGTCGACGGTCTTAACGTCCTCATGAAAGATGGTGTCCGGGAAGAACGCCTCAACAACCCGTCGGCCTGTCGCTTCTTTCTCGACGCTCAAGTGCCCGGCCACCCCTACACCCAAGCTGTCAACCGCCAACCTCAGCGCTCCCAAGCCATCGAATAGCCCCACAGTGAGCACCTGTAACGTCTCTCCCTCATGCGGGAGATCGCCCCGACTTTCCGTGTGCAAAGCAGCCACTCCATACCCAGTCAAACCTTCACTCACACAAACTCCTCCTCCGGTGGTGGAGGCGTCACTGCAAGTAACATGCTCCATGAACGGGCATCGGAAATCAATTTGCGCCAAAGGGGTCAACAATGTAAAGGTCAACAACTCCCGTTGGACTCCCACTGGAACCGGGAGCCGCACCACGGGCGGTAGGGTTTTCAACTTTTCCATGAACCTCCACACTTCGTTCAGAAATCCCAGAAGCTGTCGCCTGAACATGGCAAAGTATACGAAGCCGCCACAGACCACCTGCAACTCCTTCAACGTGCACGTACCCTGTTCGACCAGCATGACGGCTAACCGGCAGTACAAGCAAACCTTGCCAGCCTTGGGCTGAGCGAAACCCAAATCACCATCAACGATAGCACCCTGGATCTCCGCCACCGGGGACCGCGCAACCGCCTTCTTTGGGTGACGGGGGATGCCCTGCGCCGAGTATTGCTCCCGGAGGTTCTCCACTGCCGGTGCCACCTGGCCCCTCAAAGCTTCAGCGGTGGCTGGGTCCAAGCGTTCCACCAGGTCAAAATTGTCTAGATAGACGCGATACTGATCCCTGGCGTTGCTGCTGACACGGTCCTTTCGCATTTCACACTCCCCTCCTAAGCCGCGCGCGGTGCACTGACTCCAACTTACTATGTTCCTGTGGACATGCTGTGCAATTGACACGCTGTTGATGAATCTCATCGGCAACACGCATGAAGTGAGCACGCACGGCCGATCTCGCCATTCTTCCGGAACCAATGAGGGGGGTACACGACGATTGAAACCCAAGAAACGCTTCCATGAAGGTGGCACCTTGAATAAGTAAAAGAAACACCGCACATCTTCAGAACTTATCAAGGCCATCTCACCATCATCCAAAAGAAATGACCCGAAGCTACAGATGTTCGGGAGAGTCACCACGTCTCCCACCAACGGTTCACATAGCTTATTCAAAGGTATTAAATTCATAATTAGCCGCTGGCATTCAATGCTCCCAACGAACTCTCCCTTACCGACCCCAAACATTCCGTTCAGGAGAGGCACCTGACCAATGTGGAAGAGCTCGTCCATCGGCTTGACTTCGCAGATCTTCTTGTTGATGAGGCCCTCACAGATACACGGCCAGTCATCCCCGACCATCACCCGAGGGGCTCGGGGGCAAGGGAGGTTTGAAGTGTCGATCAAATGGTCCTCGAAGTGGTCCAAGTAATGAAGGGTGCCCTGAGTGCAGAAGTCCCTCAACTCCAAACGACCTACCTCGTCAGGTAATGAACTCTGGACCCCCTCCCAAGTTAGAGTCTGGGCAACACGCACCTCCTCACCGGCATAAGTCACGCCCCGCTTCGCAAAGAAATCCCCGAAATCAAGAGGGTCAAATTTTTCCTCCCAAACCTTGAAACGCTCGCAGATCTTCCCCAAGTTTTCCACGATCCCACAAGGTTCACGCTTCGGCTGAGGTCCTTCTCCTCTGCCACAGGCAACAAGGTTAAGTCCAAACACCATGTCTGCTCCTGCCGTTTCTGACCTAGTCCCTGGCTGCAGGGGTAGAGGTAGCGGAAAGATATCATCCGACATGGA